TAAGATGACATAATGGTGTTTGTTAATATATACTGTATATGAGGCCTCTCGAGACACAGTGTTCAACAGTGCAACAGTAGTGTGGAGAGACAGAACCAGAGAGAGGCAAGAGGCACAGAGACAGGCCAGGTTGTGTTTCCTGTTGTTGCATTAAAACTCAGCTGATCATCTCACGGAGTACATTCATTCTTGGACCACGTATTTCTGTCTTTGTTAAATAAATATTGCCATAACAATTGTAACCAAAAAGWCAAATTAAGTCATGTCTCTGGACCTGCTTATGATCAGAATGATCCAGGCGTTTGAAGCCAGGAATCTGAAAATGTGATCAGGTCATTTTGACCAAATTTGACTTAATCCTCATTTGGATATGATGGGTCGTTTGACCCAAGGACAGCAGGAGGGTTGTATTCACTCAGTGCTAAAACTTGTTAAGAACCAGAGGACCATTCTGTATTGTGTCCTGTCATCGCCTCGGGTCTACATCCATTTGGTGTCACATTATGCTGGACTTTTATTCTTCCTGCGTGGTACAGCTGAAGACAGTGTCCAGTAGTCTTGTCTGAGTCCAGCCGCAGAGCCGAGGGCCTGAGGGAACCGAGCGCTGGTCGCTGCAATAAAAGAAGAGAACGTCAGCTAAGATTATCTTCACCCTGGCACTGTGGATGTGTGCACGCTCAGAGCACAACTTTCATTATCTGGACTCAACCAAAATGAAAATGACTGTAATTATAMGAGGTAATCTTACTTCAAAGATCAATTTTATTTGATTATCTTGTCGGAGCAAAGAGGTTTTCATTACTGCAGGAGCACATCAGACCCTGGAGGCAGCTGTTTGTTCATTAATTGATGCTTCATGGTTCATTTTCTAAATGTTTCTGATCTCAGAGCAGTTTTTGTTTGTCTTTTTCTTTCTGAACAAGGAGTGATGACAGACGTTTACCTTCYTCTTTAAGCATAAACTGAGGTAACAACTTTAACAGAGGCAGTGGAAGTCAGAGTGTCCTGTCTTCAGGTGTTGAAGGAACACCTTAAAGATGTGAACTGAGGTGTACTACAGTAGGAAAAGACCCATAATCCTTATTATATTCTGCTGCTCCAAGGTTCATTAAAATCTGCCCAGGGCTTAGCAAATTAATCTGCTGATTAACAAACAAAAACAAAACAAAAAAAGGAACCATGGTCTGAATTTAGTCTTTTTGTTGCAACTATAAAATACATCATGGAATACATCAAACTAGTGGTTGTGTGCTGTGTTTTTTTAACTAGATAAATACTTAAACACAGCCCTGAGGACACTAAGTCCTGAAGTACCAGTTTTCAGTTAGCATTAGCTTCCACTTTCTTACTGTTCAGCTTTTGCAAAGCTAATTTTATTTAAGTTGGCGTWTTGGCGGTTAGATTATTTTCTTTCCACTGAACAAGGATAGGATCTGATAGCTGGACTCTCCCCCTCAAAATACTGCTGGTTCCATCTATGTACAGGATACTTTTACTTCCTACAACTTTTACTTTAACAATGCTCTGTTCTTGGTTTTCATTGAATATTTGTCAGTCTCAGCAATTTCTTACAATTTATTCATGGAAACCATCTTCTAATCAATCTGTGTAACACCATGAAAAGACACAATATTATTTTTTCAGCCTGTTCCTGTCAGAATAAACAATGACRGTGTGAGAATATTTTCTCACTCAGACTGGGAGAGAGTTGTGACAGTCAACACGCTGGTTCCAACACATCGTCACAACTGAAGTCTGCGTGAGTCATAATTTTCCAACAAGAAAATTAATGACCACTCACTAACTGATCAAACCTGGAAATAAATAAAACCAAGACCAACCAAACCAGTGGTCATTCCATATGTCGTGGGAGTTTCAGAGAAACTGAGACTTTTATTCTCTAAACATGACGTCCCAGTGGCTTTCAAACCCCAAAACACGTTACGACAAAGATTAGTTCACCCCAAAGATCCAGTTCCCCGGCAAAAACAGAGTAATATAGTGTATGCTGTTAAGTGTCAGGAGGACTGTGATAAGTTATACATTGGGGAAACAAAGCAGCCACTGTTAAAAGAATGAGCCAGCACAGAYGAGCTACGTCGTCAGGTCAGGACTCTGCAGTTTACACTCATCTACAGGTCGGGATTCTGCAGTTTACACTCATCTACAGGCCAGCGTCACTCTTTCAGGGATGAAGATGTTCTCATCCTCGATAGAAAGGAACGCTGGTTTGAGAGAGGAGTAAAGGAAGCCATCTTTGTGAATGAAAACGGTCCACCATTAAACAGAGGTGGAGGCCTCCGTGTCCAGTTGTCCTCCTTCTACAACGCTGTTATTGCAAGTATGACTCAGCCCCCTGTGAGCAAAAGGTGTGAATCAGGGCCCCAACGATACCAACACAAAAGATGGAGGGAGGGACAAAAACAAGGGGATGTTGAACCCCCGCTTGCACTCACTACATTCACATAACAAAACACCAAATAACCACAGCTGAAGCATCCAAACCAATAAGTCAGGTGATGGGGCACATGACCCTCTATGAATAATAGAGCCAATCAAGCCTATTGTTAGGCGATGGCCCTCTTTTGCATGTGACTAACCTGTTTGTCCATGTGGAGGCAGTGCTTATAAGGCTGAGTTCACCTGAAACTCATCAGACTGAAGAAGTCTCTTGGAGGAGAGACGAAACGTTTCACTAAAGAAGAACCCATCCAGAGGACCTACTTATTTTTTCTTTTTAAATAAAATTATCATTCATCTTATAGTCCTAACAAAATTCTGACGCACTAAAAAACTGTAGAGCTTTCCTAAACAGACTAATCAGGCTTTTTGCAGCTCAAATATTATGATAAATGGTAATTGACCTGAACTTATAGCGTTTTTTTCAAGTACCATCAGACTCCAAAGCTCTTTACACTATAGTCATTCAGACATTGATTATGGTAAGCTACACTGTAGCCACAGCTGCCCTGGAGCACACCGACAGAGGCCATGCACCRGTGCCACCGGACCGTCTGACCAAGGACACAACGACAGAGACAAACAGAATGGGGATCAAACTGGCAACCGACTGGTTACGAGACCACTCCCCTAACCACTCTGCCACAGCCATCCAGTTTAAAGTTTAAAGCTAAATAAATTAAGCATTACATACACTTCAGAACAACTCTCAGCTGTGATCAGATCAACATTACGTCATTTTTTTATGCGTCTACAACCACAGAAACTTATTGGGGATTGACTACTGAGAGTACTCGTGCGCACAGCTAACCAAGCTACCCAGTTTAGCTAACTCATAATCTGCTAACTAAAAGTATGTATAACCTTTTTAGCTGAACCATTAAACGTAAAAAAAAAATTAGTGGAAGCTAACAGCTGAAACAACTGTCACTCAATCTGCATCACACAGAATTTTCAAAGTAAGCAAGAAAAAAAGCTAATCGGCCTAACAAAAAGCCATTCAGCCGTTAGCTGTTAGCTAATTAGCAGTTCTCCTTCACTGAACCTCAGGATGAGATTCAGTTAGCATTTTTAGGCCTAGATCTTTGGTACGTTCTGGAAAGGTTTGCAACTCCCACTGGGAAAAGACCTGGGGCAGACCCAGAACTGTCTGAAGGAATTGTGAATGCTCTCTCAGTTTTGGGGGAGACCTTGGGATTCCCCTGAAGGATCTGGAGAGTGCTGCTGGCCTGGTTTTGTTTTAAGCCAGGGGTGCCCAAACATTTTGCCTGAGAGTGCCAAAATTAAAATCAACCTGAGGGCCGCCGGCCAAGTGCAATAATATAAGAAATGCTTAATATTTAATATTACTTTTTATGATTAAGCCAGCAGCCAGTGTGGTTGCCCACATTCTTTAGTTTTTTTTTTCAGCCCATGGAGATGAAGAAAATTCAACGTATGCTCAGGCAGCAAAGGCTCATGGGACTTTTCATAAGTTAAAATTTGAATATACGTATGTGGTCTTAAAGGCTCAACACACGGGAGGTGACATCGCTCGCTCTCCATTCATTTCCTATGGAGCTGTGCGGTGAGGCGACAATCGCTYRCCCTCCACCAGCTAAGCGACTGGCGAAAACAGTGCATGTGAAATTTCACGCTCGTACACGTAGACGTGCACATGCGAGCTTGCGACGCGACATATGAAAGTTGAAAAATGTTCAACTTTTGTCGCTGTC